CGGGCCGATACACAATTGAAACGTCATTGATAATGGAAATATGGGGTATAATATTAGAATAATCAGATATTAAGGTGTATTGTTATTTTACAAATGATATATAGGACGGTTCACGTTTATTTTCAGACCTAACCCTAGTGGTCCCAAAATGAAGTTATGAATACTTTAGAAACAGACCTTATAATGTTCGCTTTACACATTTTGTTTGTACACATATTTAAAGTTTGTTTTATGTATGTTGGCATGTTGTTCATAGTTTATTTTATGTCGAACGGGTCCATTACAATTTAACAAAGTTTCGTCAATTTTAAATTTGTGGCGTGAATTCTTTACGTCAAACATTTATATTTATTATTTGCCTTAGAAACCTAGTGTTTGATACATGAATGTGAATGTTCTACAGATAATCATAGAACTTATGATATCTTCCTAGACCCTATGATAAAACATAAAATGGTAAGTGTTGCTATTTATTTCACTTTGTTTCAATAATATAAAACTTGTCGTTTTTTTAAAGTTTACATACGTGAATAGATTTCATTTGCGGTAAATCAAACATTTAGAAAAACCATTTGACGAAACATGAAATCAATGTCACTATATTTAGTTGGTGGAAAATGATTTCCTATGGAGTTTAATAACTAGAGGGTAAAATCAGATGTAATGGGGTATAAGAATTAAAACAGGGCTATTCATGGTAGCTTGAATACAGTTTTACTACCTATATTTCGTTTGGACACGAAAATATCTAGAGTTTGAATGCTTTAGGCTAACATGAAAAACAGCCCTTTTCAGAATTCTGTAGATTGTAAGTTAAATGAATATATGAATAGTATATGTTTACGTAAACCATAAAGTCAAACTGCACTGTATTACAGTTAGTATTATGCATATGATATATATCGAGAGTTTGAATGCTCTATGTTAATACGAAAAATATCACTCCACCCTGAAACAGTGCAAATTTCCAATTTTCTATAGACTTTTGATTTTGAATCGAAATACACGAGTGGTTAATCAGTTGAATGAACTAATTATTATTTTCCACAAAGCAGAGTATGTAATTAGCATCTAATGAGGTCATTAGGAATTTAATAACAAAATAAAGAAGGAAGGGAAACGTTATCTAACCTTGTACTTTACACAATGTTTACTTCCTTAACGGGTACACTCAGCTAGTGTTTATAAATTCATAATTAAATATTCTAAGACACATTACGGCGCAAAAAATCGAGTTTTGATACCCGAGGTGGGAAGAGCAAAGATAGTCCATTATATAACTTTGTACTTAAGAACAACCAACCAACGAAGGCATTACTAAAGTTGCTTCCTTTACGAAAACAGTTTTCTACTATTTCTCTGCAGCAAGTCATTATATATATATATAAGTCAATAATACACGTCTACTACTAGACATTACATCAATTGTATATAGGCGTTAAAATCACCACTATGTAACAACGATGGAGTTTTGTACATAAACCAAAACCTAGATGTCTAGTCTAAAATTTAAAATTAAAACTGTTACTCATAACAAATTTCAACGATATATATACTTATCAAAATTTCATGAATAACTAACTAAATATCTAAAATCAAATTTACAATCCTAACATTTGTCAATAAAGTACAAAAGTTATAATTTTTAAAGAAAAAGTGTTTGCAGTAATAGAAAACAAAAGTTTTGGGAATATTTCGTTTACCAGATATAATTTATAAAAAACGAAAAAAAAAAAAAACGCAAATGAATAACGAGATAGCTGTCACGGAATATCAGTTAGGATTTAGGTTTTGGGTGCTTTCAAACACAACGTCCCAACACCATCTGTAGCCAGTTGTGGGTATGATAGTCACAATTAATTTTTTTTTAAATATTTTAAAAGTAACACCGTGGTAGAAATAAATTTGTTGTTGAGAGTCACCCTTAATTTATACCCTTTTTAGAAGGTTGGGTGCCTAATAAGGGTGACTCTTAACAACAATTAGTTTATACTGTGATGTTACTTTAAAAGTATAATGTTAAAAAAGCTAAAAAAACAACAACTGAAAGTGAAATGGTTGTGTATTTGTGCTAATTAATTAAACTGTTCGTAGGGATAACCAATCAGATATGGAACCGGGAGTAATGGTTAATTTTTCTTCTCAAAATTATATATAATTATATATAAATAAATGTTTTATGAACATGTTTTTAAAATTTAATTACAATCTAGTAACAATATATGCATGGAGAATGACTATCGCAAATACAACATTTTTATGTATATTTGGTCATCTCCTTTAATTATTGCTTCATTAGCATTTTGACTTTTGTATATCTGTAAGTTATGTTCATAAATGTTCTTCCTTATAAATCCTTATAAATTGAAATATGCAAAAAAAAAAGTGACTCTCAAAGACACATTCTTACTTGGTCAACTGTTTGGCCCTGCAAATTATTAATTGTAAAGCCAGTGAATTTTATTATGAATTTTGGGGTCTTCTCTTTGGACTGACTGTTAGCCTGCTGAGCTGAAGATTCGCGTTTAATCTGGGCATTTTCGAAATTGAAATGTGCTGCGGGTTATTATAGAGTTGTAGCTGAGGGTTCTGATTGGACAAACTTTGGTGATGTTGCATCAATGTGTCTCCTTGACAAACATGCAAACATTATGGGGAATTTCAGCCAATGACTATGATTTTTGTGCGGTAGCAATACCAAGCGTGGGCGTGCGCATATACACTGAGTGGTCACAAGTAAATAGACACCTAATTTTCGTACTATTTAACTGTATTTATGCTAGCTAATTTG